GGACCCCGTACTCCCGGAGCACCCCCCACAGGGCGCTGCGAGGGACACGGTCGAATGCCTTCTCCAGATCCACGAAACACATGTGGACTGGTTGGGCAAACTCCCATGAACCCTCCGCCACCCTGAAGAGGGTATAGAGCTGGTCCAGTGTTCCACGGCCAGGACGAAAACCGCATTGTTCCTCCTGAATCCGAGGTTCGACTATCGATCGAATTCTCCTCTCCAGTACCCTGGCATAGACTTTCCCGGGGAGGCTGAGGAGTGTGATCCCCCTTATAGTTGGAACACACCCTCCGGTCCCCCTTCTTAAAAAGAGGGACCACCACTCCGGTCTGCCAGTCCAGAGGCACTGTCCCTGACCGCCATGCGACGTTGCAGAGGCGTGTCAACCAAGACAGCCCAACAACATCAGAAGAAATCGTTTTGAAATAACGATCAAAACCGATGCAGTGGAGACCAAAATACTTCATATTCAGTAATATGACTCAAGCTCCAAAACAGCTTGATCCTATGATAATGCAACTCTGTGGCGTCGTTTGACTCTTTTTGCTTGCTAAAAGGTAAAATGGTCTTAAACTATACGCCTTAAGTTAGCTTAATATAGCACATTATCATCTTGATGTTAGCACTGAGCTCAAAGCAACAGTGCACGGCTTTATAGATCCACTAGCCTGACTGTAGACTTTAAGGTCTTGTTAGACCATAAAGATCTTACAGATTTAAAAAAGTGAGAAGAGAAACAATGGCCTGACACAGTAAACAAAGTGTAGACAGAGTAACACTATAGCGTGAACATTTTTCTCGTTATAACAAACAAATACACTCTTAAGCTCTTAAAAAGAATGTGTCTCTCAGGTTTTTCATTTTTTCCAATAAACAACTTAGCAGGACTGAGATAAAATTAGCCTTTGCTTTTTCAAATGTTTGCAGTCCACACAGTCGCAGCAGGCCGAGTTGGTGGAGTGATGAGAAGGTTGCTCTGTGGGTAGCAGCCTGTCATGTGTGGGATGAATTGCATACAGTCTTGTGACTGGGCTGATAGAGACAGTACTCTGGGTTACTTCTTCAGTTGCTGTCCCATGATTCAGCTCACGGTTTCGGATTGCGGCTGCTAATAATAATGGAATGACTTGTGAAGATGAATTACATCCCCTCGTGCTGTTGAATGTTAGTCTCACAATGGCCTCTATTTTCACAGCAATGTATTGTGAGCTCTTGTATCCAGTGTCTTCCATGACAAATACTGAATAAGATACAGTGCATTGTCTTCTTTCTTGGATCCCCTTTTCTCAGAATATCCTTTGAATTTGCAAGAGGGACCTCCTTTTGCTTTTCAGGACAACAAAGAGCTCTATCAGGCATAGAGCAGTGGTTTGGCATCCTCTCAAACAGCACAGTCTCTATGTTGTCAAATTCACTCAACTCATTTATAAGAAACACTGGGGATACAGTAAATCTGAACTGCCTTTTGTTTCCCTTTCAGATGTGTCTGCACACTTCCTCTCAAAATTAAAACCCATTAGCGGCCTTAACACAATAGTTCTTAAATATTGATTTTTATGGTAAGTCACATTAAGACAGTAAAAGTAAAATGTGGGACAATTACACATATGCATGGGTAAATAAATGTAATAGTTAATTTAATAGTTAGATGCTCTGCACATGCAGTATTCTCATCAATTAGATTGCAAGTCAGTCTGCCTAACAATACTTACAGTGCTGTTGTGTTTCTAAGCAGCATTGCTGCCTTTGGTGTCTCTGCTGCAGTGAGTGTTACTGCCAGACCCTCCCCACCCCCCACCCCCGTCTTGTTCTAAACCAGTGCCAGCCTCCAATATCTGAGCTCATCCCACACGCTCTGCAGGATCTAGCGCCAGCCCTGCCATGCACTGCATTGGAGAGTGGGTGGCATCACACGGCCCTTCAGCCTGCTGTCTGGGGCCTGGCATGGAGGAAAGAACGTGCACACACAGGTCTCTGTGTGATAAGGCCCGCGTGGATTAATTCCACTGAGTCTCAAAGTCAGTGATGGCCACACACCTCAGTGGAGCATAGACCCGTTTCTATCCTGCAGAGCCTCCTACACTTTAGACTTTGAGCATGTCTAGCACGGGTGCACCACTCAGTGCTGGGTAACACCTCCCACCCCCTCATCCTCATCTTCTATCTCTCATACACTGTACTGCACTTTTCCTGAGACAATGAATTCACAATAACTAATAGTTGAGATTTCTGTGCCTCGATAAATACCTCAGTTTATTCTGCATACAGAATTTCACCTGGCTTGGGTGCAGGAGTTGATCATCCAAAGGTGTAACGGAAGAGATAAATCAGTCAAAGTGAAACCACCTCCTCCGCCTCCACATCCTGTCTGCGGGGTGATAGGAAAGATGTTCTCTCACAGCTCGTATAACTGTCTATACTTTGCGTCACATCTGCAGCACTACGGAAGAGAAAATGTGTCATTTTGAGAATAAACACGTGACTGAAAACATGCCACCCAGAGAGAATATATGCCTCACCCACACACCCAGCAAAACCCAAGATCCTTCTTGTAATATGGTGAGATATGTGTGAATTAGCTCTGTCAGTGGCCTGCACAGGGACTCTGGGACTCTACTGTTGCATGACCAGAAGCTCCACAATCATGCCAAAGAAAGATGCAGAATTTGTATATTTACATTCAAAGCTAAAGACAAAAAAAGTTTAATAGTTTAATATACGTACATAAAACAAACTATGTAGACATCCCTCATGTTGCCACAAAAATAGAACATGCTCTGGCAACATGCCAGCTGTGATGGCACATCAAGTTGTGTGGCAGTGCCAGGGGTGGCCACTTGTCTATTTGCCTAGCGTGGTGAGCAGGGGGAACAACAGCCTCCTGATCAAAAATGTTAATGCCTTCATTCTTTCTCTTCCTTCCTGTCTCACTTCACACTGCATGTTTCATTGTGAGCAGGAAAGGCCGCGCCTGTGATCTCTGCTGCTGTTGATGGGCACATTCAGTTTAAGAGAAGGATAAATGCACACTGGCAGTGATTCTGCAAAGCAGCAAATGCTAATGGAGTGGGAAACTCTGTGCCATGGAATTAAACCTGCACTTTGCACGGGGTGGTGGCTACAGTTTCTAGTGAATCATCCATTCCTCTGAACTTGCAAAAGGCACTGGGTACATACAGGAAACTTTACACAGTCTATCACTCTATTTGGCCTGAAATACAGTAAAGAAGGAAGGAGTCCCCTGCAGTTGGTGCCCCACCCACTGTTGACACCCCAGCCTTTACTGTAAACATTTGCATGGGTGCAATGAGGGAACAAGGTGTACTTCCTGTTGCAAAAATAATACTGAAGCACATAGAAGGCTTATGGGAAAAAGCTGTCTAGTTGTTGAACCAACCTATAGTTTTATATTGTAGTCAAGGTGTACAGTATCAAAGAAAAGTGTGCTTTTATGTGCCAGGTTATTTCTTGATGGGAACTGAAACTTGTTGTTTTTAGACTTTGGTTTAATACATGTTTTGTAAGCTAAGCTAAAATAACTGGCTGCTGGTGGTAGCCACTTATTTACTGTACAGACATGAGTGGTATCAACATTCTCAGCTAACTCTTAATATTTATTTAACTGTTTACTAGCTGCTGTTCAGCAAAAAGCAGTGTCACTTCAACAGAAAAGGGAGTAAGCTCAACTGTAGCTGCTTATTTTATGAATTTATTTCCAAATGTAAACTTCACTATTTCATGCATACAAGTTATGACAACAAACATTATTCAACAATCTGTTATTTTTCATATTTGCATAGGACATGGTCACAATATATTGTCTAACATGTAAAAAATAATGCCATAAAAAGATACAGCAGAGCAGCTAAGACCAGCACGTTAGATGTGTGTAGAATCCGAGGAACTGTACAACTGTAATACTTGAATGTAGTGATTTTGGTTTCCTGAAATAAAAATAAAAAAACAAGGTGACACCTGAAGGTTAGAATGAGGTCGTAGGAGAATGTACTGGCCATAGCTGAGTCAAGAGTTATTTACAGATTAGATTATACTGGTGCTGTGAGAGGGAAAGCAGCACCACTGAGTCACTACAACAGGCAACTGATGGTGATGGGCAGAGGAGAAACACACAGAGGTATCAAGAGAGCAACATTACACTGAGGAGGTACGCTGGAGACAATCATGAACAGGAAACAGAACCTAACACGCTGGTGACAGGCTCTCTCTTTGTAGCCAAAGGGAGGTCATTCTGTGTGCTGCATAAAATGGAACATGAACAAATCCTTAAAGGACAAATATATCCAACACAGGAGTAAAAAACGTAGCTTTTATACAGAGCGAACACCGCACAGTGTCAGTTCAAGCAGTCAAGCAAGACCACATGGTTAGTGAAGTGTACTGACAGACATGGTCTGTCAATCCGCCACGTTACATGTTCCTGCTCGGCCTCTTTTTGTTTCTCGTCTTTTACTCATTCAGAATTTGTTTGCTCATGTGATTGAGTTTTGTTCATTCAAGTTATTTTTAGAAAAGGAAAGAAAAAAAATAACAAAATTGCTTTTTTTTTGAGATGTAGAAAAGGGTCCATATCAAGCAGAGCATCCACTGATCAACACTTTCGGCATATAAAGTTGAATCCAGGGGACCAAACTGAGCGCGTTCAAAACATTCATCTTTCCCCTTCAAAGCCTTTGGTAACATTTTGTAACTGTGGAGCCTCTGATGAGCCGCAACATCTCAAACCTTCTTCTCGCTGCCCAGAAACCACTCTATCCTATCATGGCTGACTCTTAAAGCCCCTTTGTCAAGACGGAGGACAGCCCGTTTATGTCATTAACGTTGCATGTATGGTGGTCATTTGACTTGGCTTAGTCTAAAGAGCCTGCAGAGAAGATTAAACCTGGGGAATGTTGACGCTAAGAAACGTACCTTGTGCACCACTAACATGAAAAACCTCACGCTCAAGACAGACTTCTATTCATAAAGTTACAAAAATGCATTGGGTCGATGTAAGCAGCACATTTATAGCAAATGCAGTTTTCAGTCCTTTGGAATGGTTAGGAGTTCATTATCATTTAAGATTGTTTATGTCAAATATACCTGTAATAAGCTATTATACATTGTACTGTACAGCAAAAAAAAAGAATAAAGAAACAAATGAAAACTAGGCTACACTATCAAATGTTTACATAAAGCAGAAAAGAAACATTTAACTTAGAACATTTTGCATAACATATATGCAGAGCCGCTTCATTAAATCCTGTACATAACATAAAAACATGCCGCGCTTTGTAAAACTGTACAAGTTTGTTAAATGTCTGGTGTTAGCTCTTTTTTTTTTAAACCTTATCATTTGTGTTATACCTATGAATTTATCATTATAGTTTTGGCACATGGTTGCATCGATCATGCTTTTAAACTGAGATCAGTAATTTAGGATCTGTGTTGAGGAAGGAAGCTTTTAAATAAAATCCATGTTAGTTCTTTACATACTAGGCAGTAACTGATTCTTTTTAGTGTATTTTTTACAATAAGAGGAAACAATAATAACTGATACACTGTCAGCATCCTCCAACCTTGCATTTGCAATTGATTAAAGTCCTTTTTCTCTGACAGATGTCAAAATCAGTAATATTTTTAAAATGCTAAATTAGAATTTCGTAGTAATTTACAGCTGACATCATTCCTCCCATATGTTTAAGTCAAGACAAATATGTGGAGCTCAGTAGAGAAGTTGTTTAAATATCTTTGAAACATAAAATATAAAAAATATATATAGGTTATTCCCCCCCAAAAAGATTAGTTATTGAACCTACAAGGATGCGCAGGACCCTGGCAACATGGGATGATTATACAAAACGTAGCCCAGTGTTTTTTTTTTGTTTTTTTTTTAACAGTAAAAGTTTTTCTTTCCTTCACTCAGATAAAACCAATTATTTGTGCTACACATCAAGCAAACATAAGCTACATGATGGATGGTTTGAAAAGATATGAAGGTACAAAAAAAGTCAAATATTAAGAGGTATGAGCTTTAAAAATTATACAGACTTAAACATTTCATATGAGAAAAAGCAATAAAGCAATAATAATAAAAAGGACGACTACATTGCTAACTCACAATGCCGTGGTCTCTATTCTTATGGAAAACAATAAAAAAGAATCTAAATGATCAAGAAAATAAGTCACTCCACCTGAAATTGACATACATAGAGATCAGAAAGTTTCCTTTTCTTATCATTTCCTTGAAAAGACCTCAGACAATCCTTTCATTTTCTGACTTCATGAAACTTTTGGATAGCAGGCTATTTGGAATAATCTGCATCCTGACATCAACAGAGTATTCAGTGTTTCGGATTAAAGGGATGAACCCAGTTAATGGGGTTAAAACTGTGTTATTTAACCAAAAGTGGTGCTTTTACACAGCCAGATAAAACAGTCAACCTTAATGTTGTGATAAACTGTTGAAATGACTTGAAGACAATGAAAACAACAGCAAAAAAACCCCCCCCCCCCAAAAAAAAATCAAATGATACACCCTTCTCTAAAGAGATTAATAATTATTTGACAACCAACACAAGTAGAGTAACAATGGGCATGTACAAAACTGTGTTCAATGGCCTTTTCTGTTAATTATTCAAGTAGATTTGGTACAGTGAGAATAAGAGACACTGCCTGTGGAGGCCTGTATGTCACTGGTGCAGTCTGGATGGATGGTAAGACTGGGGTGGTTACACTGTCACAGTTGGTGTCCTGTGTTTCCAGTGTGGTTGGACACTGACCAGCAGTGAGCACTAAGCACCCAGGAACACCACGGGAGGCTGGCAGATATTTCTGTGCAGCAAGTGACGTCACAATAAAATCTACAAACTGTCCCATATCTGTCGACCCTGAGGTAAATGTGCAGGTTATGAATTAAGAGGTGATGAATGGAATATGCTTGAGGGTGTCTTACTCACACTTTTTTTTTCCACTAAGTCAAAACTGACTATGCTCACAAATAAACACCACAAAAATCTGATCAACAGCAATTTGAAAAGATTGCTTGTGAAAATCTAGGTGTTTTTTCCAGGAATGGTAAATGTAGAAGCCCCTCGGGGCATCTTTCACTGAGAGTTGCTGATCAGTGGCATTCACAATGTCTTCTTGCAGCATGGAAACAATTCTAATATTTTACAGGGGGTTGTTTTTTGTGGTGTGGGAAAACTACCGCATTCTAACCAAATAAAGAATGTTTTCTTTCTGGAGGACGTGACACAGGAGATTCTTCACAACTTTAGAAAGACGGCTGCTGTGGAGAACCGGGAGCACAATGTCTGCCATTCATGAACGTACACCTGCCAGGCCGCCTCAAAAAAAACCCTCTACGCTTTCAGGACCAAGTTGTTAACATGCATATAGTGTGAAGAACGGGACTGCAGAGCGAGAGCTGGTAGGATGAAGCGAGTACATGCGATTCATGATGACAACAGCCTGGAGGGGATCTGACAGGATCCACTACATGGATGAAACGATAAAAGAAAATGCAGGCATAACACAGACTGGTGGGGGCTGCAGCAGTTTTTATAGTGGTGCCCATTTCCATGGAAGGTTTACTGTGCCTTTTGCCTGACTTACTGAGGCATGTCTGTCTAGAAACACAACACAGCTTTCTCATGGGCCATCTACACTTCACAGGCAGGACGACATGAGGCTGGTGAGCACTGTGATTTGCTGATATGTTCATTTTGGTTCAAATGTCTTTACAATAGTTTGAAAGCCCCCTTGTTGCGAGAGAGAAGTCTGAAAGCAGCTGTTTGAGAGCTCCTGTTTGTCGGTGTGAATTTGGAGGTGTACTCGACATTGTGAAATGTGACTCTCCGGCTGTAGGTGGAGGATTTCTCCCTGTGCTTAGGATGGAGATGGGTACATCCCACCCACACTGTCAGCATTGCCTAGGTAGTACTGTTGTTCATAAACGTCTCTTATCCTACAGGTTGGATCAACTCACTAATTACAGCTATTTTTCTGTTCACAGTTAGAGGGAGGGAAGGACACAAGGAAGGAGGAGGAGACGGGGGTCTCTGCAAATGGGTGTCTCCTGTTCTGTTCTGCTCAGCTCATGATAAACCTCTCCTTTTTTTTTATCAGGACCTGTCCTCTCTTGCCTCTTTGTTGCAGATAGCTGTTTTATTTGTGCTGTGCTTCACCGTGACACAGACCAGCTTGGCTCTGTCCAACACCCTGGCCTACATTTGACCCCTTGTGCATTTTGGCATGCTTAGAGTTTCGCCACTCACACAGGACAGGTAGAGCGAGACGGGTGAAGGAGGGATCCTCAGGAATAGCATGTTACCACTCCTCCTGCAGGCTGTGAATAGCTTCTTGTAGGATGCAGCTGTTTCCTCCAGAGAGGCTACAAAAGGCAGAGCCAGGAGAAGGGAAGTGAGCAGGCTGCCTGGCTCTACCTGCGATACTGCCAACCACTAGACCGAGGCCTCAATGAAGGGCGGCCTGCAAGACTGAATAGAAAGCTTTCATTCTCTCTTGCCTTTGGTACTTTTTCCTATGTGCTTGAGAGAGGGATAAACATTGTTTCAACTGATGGCCCTTTGTGTCCATTTAACGTGTAAGATACTGGCTGTGCTCTAAAAAAAAGCACGAACAGCTGCTTTGAAACTTAACTGCCTCCATTTAAAGGTTCTAAAGTTTTTTTAACTGTGTATATTTATAAGAACTGCAGTATAATCCAGTATAATCTTGATCCTCCCCCAGTGCACATTTACATAGTACAGTATACCGCTACACTGCTACTGAATGAAATACATATTTATCCCAGTATAATGGCAACTGTATATTAATGCTGAAGTGGAGGAACAGATGCATTGTTTTTTACTATGATGGGGAATATTTTCTTAACACACAGCAAATATACTACCGATAAACCCCCAGAACACAAGGGAGAACATGAGTTTTGTGTATGACTGACCGTAGAGTTAGTTTCCACGAACCTGAAAACTAACAAGAAAACAAAGAGTGCAAATTGTTTTGAGTGTAAGGCTGCTGTCTGTGTACACTGTATGTTTTGTTTCACTGTGTTCTTTCTTTCAAGCTAACAAGGCCATCCCTGAGCAGGGCATAAAATTCAACACCTGTTGAATTTCAGAGTAAAGTGATGAGTATATTGTGCAGTCAATGTGAGTACTGTTAAGTACTGTGGTATTACAGAAATAGTAACTGTCTTCAATCCTGAGGTGTGTGTGTGTGTGTGTGTGTGTACCCTTTATTCTCATCCGTTCAAAAACAAAGAAAAACAAAGAAAAAAAATTTAAAAATTGTCAGGGTGTCCATTTTTTTCTTCTAAACCTTGTTTAGCTGAGTGCGAACACACACTGGACATCTAGCCATGTTCAGAAGCTAAAACAAAAACACATGGTGCAGAATGTAAATATTGCCATCTGGGAAAGGCATTACCTTCTTTTAGGATCACATAAGAGTAATTGCACTACAATAAGCAGTTATGTACAGTATGGTACACCACAGCAAGCACAGGAATAGCAAAGGGGGGGTTGCTGAAGACTGGCAACGCAAGTGTTATGTGGAAAACACAGGCCTTGCAGTTCAGAGGCGGAAAGTGCAACTGGGTTTTGGTTTAAGGCGAGTTGGCTGGGCTGAGGGTGGGGCTGAGGGTGGGGCTGGAGGCGTCTGAGCGACTGTAGTCGCTAAGGGAGCTGGGACGTGTGGTGCTGCTGCTGGTGCTGGCGCCGCGGGCAGCCAAACTTCTTCTCCCCTGTGTGGGTGCGGTAGTGACGAGCCAGCTCATCAGAGCGAGCAAACTTCTTACTGCAGTCAGGCCAGGTACATGGGAAAGGCCGCTCTCCTGCAAAACAGGAAATGAAGTACAGGTGTCAGTGTACAATGACACAAGAAACTCAAGAAACATGGCTTTAAGGATCATATCAGTGCATTGGCATGTTTTCATTGACTGCTGGCCACTTCCTGCATGTTTCTGTTGCATTTTTCCGTGTTTTTTTTCCATGTTTTAGCCCATTTACCAGTACAACAGCTCATACGGGCCATTGTTCATAGCATACCATGCTTTATTTTTAAATCTCTCACTGTGTTTTTCAGTCCTTCCAACCAGCTGCTGTTTTCCATTCATATAAAAATCAACTTGCAAGATGTGAAGGACGTGCACTATCTCAAGCACATTTCAAATCTTCACCTGATAATTTTAACAAAGTCCTGAAATGAATGGGAGCCAGTGGTTAGCTGAATCGTAATCAGAATGTAATACTTTTTTTTCTCCAAACTATTCTTGAGAGAACAATGGACAGGAATGTAAAGTAGGCCTGTATATGAATTGTCGTAAATGGGTCAAAGCACTGATACTGTCAGTGAGTGTGAAATAGCTGCAACTTACTGACATGTTCCTACTTCCCCACTCTGATCTCATGTACCAAACCACCCACCACAGTAAGAGCAGTGACTCATTATACAGTGTTTACAGTCATGAACAAAGCAAACACATTTTTCACAGAAGACGCATCCTGCTGATCAAGATTGCACTAATCACAAGGTTACTGCTGGGTCTGCCAGGGGTCCTCAGAAAGGGGAAGGGTATCAAAAAACACCCAATACATCTTCAAAATATAAAAGAGAAAAACGGTTTGAAGAGAAAAAGGTTTTAATGAGCCATGGGACTCGGGATAAATCACCTCAAATTTGGCACTGCACTGCAGGAGCAGACACAGTTTAATTATCTAAGCTCCAGATGCTAGTCGCATTCACAATGGTTACCCAGCCCATTTTCCTACATGCGACTATCTGTGACTCGGCACATGGGAAATTACACCCTTCCCCCTCCATCAGGCAATAAAAGTGGGCTTTGACACAAATCTACTCAAAACCAGATGGTACTATATATCTTGTGGTTTCCTTCCATTCTGATGTGGAATTAGTGTGCATGGATCCTAAATGCCGTGTTTTACATCCACTGGCCAATATGTCTGACGCTGCACTCTGTTTATTTCCATTTCACCGAGCTTCTGCCTGACAGTAGCTACATCCAGCATTCTAATTTTATCAGTGTGACCTTGCAGTATTATAACAAAGGGCAGGGTATGTTCTTTAACTGTTATAGTTCGTTCCTGAGAATAAGACTAATGACTCATAATGTACAAGTCTATGCCAAGGATTTGAGGTATGAAAAGGAATAGACAATGAGCATGAATGTTTATTAGTGGCATGACAAATGAGTACATAAAAACAGGCCTGTCAAATGATTTATTTTGTTCTGTGGTTTCCCTCAGGGCCAGAATGGAAACAGTACAGTTCAGCATCAAACACTCATATGCTACCTGATGCCAGTGAGTCTCAAAAACAAGAAATCGAGTGCACAACTAGTCTCGCCCACTAACACCCCCCACCCCCCCCCAAAACTGCATGGTTACAAAACACGCAGACAGACGGAGCAAGTCCAGACAATTGTCCTGCCTTTGACGCCTCACCTCAGCTCTAGACAAACTCAGTCAGCCCTGCCCATTTCGGTTCCTGCAGGGCTCACTGTATGTAAACTCTGTAACTGAAATATAGACATTTGCATTGCACAGAGTCTTGTCTCCCTTGTTCCAGTAACTATACATTGTTCTCCCTCTCCTGATACAGAAACACAAAGTACAAGCAGCACAGAAGATGAGGAGGCTGTGACTGTCTGACCCTGTTTATGCCTCCTGTATTACACCTTCCATTATACATAGCTCCTAGGGAAAAGGGAGACAGTATAACTTTGAAAGCACTTATCTCATTGAAGAGACTCATTTGATTTTATACCTTATTAGCAAGAGAAGCAGTCTGTGCTGCCACCTGGCCCTGCAAAATGAGTTACTGACTTGGCTAAAAAGTAGAGCTAAGTTCTGCAAGCTGCTTAAGGCTCAATAACCAGTGTAACAGATCCAGCAACATTAATATTTAACCAGACACCAGAGAGCTAGGCAGAGATATCCAGTCTAACTGCCCTGATACAGTTATGCAGTAACGCATAGTGGAAGCATCAGGTATCTAACGGCAACTCACCGAGACGCATCGAATTATTTAGAGCTCCGTGACTTCTTAGAAAATACTGAATTAACTGATACAGTGCCAATTTTCACCTCATGGTAAACTGCTTGTGGCATTTAGATCAACAATGTGCGTTCAAGATTTACTTGTATAAAGATGTGATGACCCACAGTTGTTATGCTTGTTTCATAACATGAGGATTAAGATTTCCATGAGGGCAGTAAAATAACTACTTCTACTAACAGTGAATAGGCTTTCAGGAACAAATGCTTGAGTGGAAACAATGATGGAGGCTGATACCCTCGGCAGCAGGAGGATGTCACCCTCCAAGATGTTTCAGTAGTCTGCAGTCTACTACTCAGAATCTCAGCTGAAAGAAAAAAGGTGGCAAGGTACTCCACTTATGCTCTGCTCTTCTTCCCATTAAGCTCCAAAGGTGTCACAACACAGCAATGTGGCAACGGTGACGTAGACCTCACCAACTGGTTATCCCATTTCTTGCAGCATGCCAGGTCCAGGGTGTGGTGCACCTTTCTAATATGTGTCAGGTGCAGAGGGAAAGCGGAGTGGGGGGGGCAGCTCTTCTCTAACGAACTCAGTGACCCAGTTACCCATAAAGTGAGTGCATGCAAACTCTACCTCTACTAAGCACTAGTGTCCCCATTCCAAGGCTATGTGATTATGTCACAGGTACGCCTGTTATATAACTGTTCTCTCTGAGGTCACTGGGTCAGTAAATAAGCAGCTCATCTCTGCTCCTCTCCCTCTGTCCTCCTCTCATTCATACCCAAGGGGTTTGGCTCCTAACTTTACAGAAATGTTTAAGAGAAATGCAATTTGACTCCCTGAAACAAGGGATGCTGTCTGCAAAGGCGAGATCAAATCTCATTTTGACGTCAGCAGCTGTGCAGGAACTCAGCTCGGTCACCCGCTCTAACAACAGCTACAGACGTTTCAAACAAGAGCAGATAACATTCCTGGTGTGTCTTCAGGCATGGACCTAACTCACCCAGTGTGTAGCTAAAACCTGCATGTGAGCCAGTCATATGAAAAACAGAAAAAATAGCTCTGCAGGGTGAGATAGAGAAAAAATATCATTCCTGTGGATGCATCAGCGATCACCTTGAATTTAGCGAGAACCAGAACAAGAAATATGTTTTTATAGATCTCAGAACAAAAACAGGTTATTTACTAAACCTGCATCAGCTTTTACAAGGAAGCAGCTATAAGGTTAAGTAAGAACGGAGTCAGACAGCAGATCACAGTTTATTACAGCTACTTCACTTTAGCACTTGCTCAGTGGCACAGCCAGCTTGGCATCATGAAATGAAAGGGACACCACAACTGCAGCGGTGGCGTTCAGGACAATCCTGTAATTTGGTTGTGTGTTTACACCAGACTACAACCTGTGACCAACCAGGAGCCGGCGACTCTGCGAGCAGACAACCATTCATGGGATTTTGGGTAATACTAAAATGACTGCTGGGTCCCATCATCAGCATAAACCACTGGAGCAGACAGGGTTAACCCAACTGTGCCCAGCCTCTCCCTAAACATGCACCATCACATGCAAAGATGATATAAACACAAATCTATCTATCTATATATATATATATATACAAAAGAATAAATATACACTGAGGCTTTTGCTGCTTCTCCTTTCATTGCTCGCGCAGCTGTATATGTAGGCTTTACTTTTTGAAAAATAAGAGCAGACAGGGTTAACCCAACTGTGCCCAGCCTCTCCCTAAACATGCACCATCACATGCAAAGATGATATAAACACAAATCTATCTATCTATATATATATATATATACAAATAAATAAATATACACTGAGGCTTTTGCTGCTTCTCCTTTCATTGCTCGCGCAGCTGTATATGTAGGCTTGACTTGTGCAAAAATAACAACAAAAGCTTACAAAGTTCTGTGGTCTGTAGAAAGGGCAGACAAAAAGATACTGCTCGGTTTGAAACACATTTGAGATCAGAACTACTGTTTACAAGACTGTTTGTCTATGAGAAATGAACTCAGTGGAAGAGAAGTCAAACTACTTCTCAGAAGCTCCATTCAGAGTTTGTCGCAAACAAGGTTAAGTTGTTTCTGTAGGAGCAACAAAAGGACCCTGGGTGGGTCCTGTGCTCACGGTCAGGACCAGCTCAAGCTTGTCAGGAGAAAGCTCCAAAAACAAGGAATATTTGATCTGTTATTATCTTTTGTCTTTATTGTGAGGGACCTTGCTTTCCGTTGAATAGTCTGCCTCCCTTTGTGGGCCTATAGCTGTCAAGCTGTGAACAATGGCAGCAGCCTTGCTCCCAGCAGGAGAGGTTCTCCTGTAATGCATTTCAATCAGACAGGCTGCACGTATTAACAGTAACACTCTCCCCTTGGTCTGCACTGCACTGAGTTATTGACATTCGCACAGAGACATGCAGTGGAGTTGACTGTCTGATTCCTGCACGCACTTAGCCATACATTACATTATCCCCTTAACTTTTTAAGGAAACGGCCAGGATCGCTCGCCTGCATTGACCCACTCATGACATTTGCCTCAGTTAGTTAGAGTGGGCACTCTCTTTCAGCCTTGAGTGCACGATAAAACAACCTGCAGGGTCTGATGTGTTGTCGACAGGCTCCTTATCTCATAAACCCTAGTTAACTAGGGACGTTCAAACAGCTGCAGCCATTAGTGGGTGTTTACAGTTGGTCCACAGAAGCAGGTGGAAGCAGGGATGCTCTGTCATCCATGACTGTCACTCAGACAGTACAATGCCAGCTCATTCTACTGACAGAGTCTGACACTATAGCTCATTATGAGAT